TTTTAAGATCATTTTAGTGAAAGTTTCATCCTTCAAAGCGTACCATTCACTGCTCAAATACTAAACAACCTGCTTCCATTGAAGATATAAAGGGGGTTCATATTATAAGGTAAGGTTATAAAACCACCTTTTAAGATCATTTTAGTGAAAGTTTCATGTTCCTATCTCATAGAATTTAAGAACAATGATGAATAAATAATTTTCGAGCAAAATTTAAATGGCCGGCTGAATATATTACCGCAGGAGCCGCGGCCGCGGAATTTAAATGACCACGTCAAAGGGTTAAGCATGTGTCCTGTTCCAAGTGGTTCATGAGACAGAGCTGTTTCACTGTACAGATGAGCAATACGCCATGTCCTCACACTTTTTGCAAAGTGCGTTGATGGTGACAGAATTTTCGAAAATGCATTATACTAGGTAAACTGTCCTAACTTTGTCACTTGAACAGTTTGCACTGGTGTTAGAAACAGTACATTATGTATTTCTTATAAACAGTTTTTGAACAGTACAGTGAAACAGCTCTATCTTGGAAACAGTTCAGAATAGGATACATGTACATATGCACGTTTTTGCTTAGAATGACCAATACTGTGACCTCCCAGAATATCGATCTTTTCTCCTGGGACACCTTGTATAGCATTGAATGATAAATTGGTAGGGATGTGGAAGGAAGTGATCATGTCCTAAACAAGGTGCTCCCAGTATTTGCCTAGAGGGACTGAAGAAAACTCAGAATAAACCACACACCTACAAAAAACAAATCACCAATATGTGTGGTGACACCATGTAGTTCGGTAGATGGTTATCAATGTTTGCAGGGCCCTGCTGCCTCTTCTTCAAGACCTGAAAAAGTTACTTCTATAGGGCCCCTGGGTCTTGTGGTGTTACTTACAACCACTGCCCTAACCCTTCCTTATGTAACTGATTTCCTCACTCAGCTCACTTTTATGCTGAAGGAGGAGGTGGAGGCAGCATGTTCATTTCCTCTGATAACATTGGTAACTCTACCTGTATCACATCACTTCTCAGAAAATCAGTCTTAAAAGAATGGCTTTTGAACTTGTTTAAAAATTCATGGGATTTGAGATTATCACAGCAGTATGTCCTCATTGGTATATCGTGAAGATGGAGGTAGCAGAGTCCTCAGAAAAGTTGGTAACTACCACATTACATATCCTTACAACTGATATAGTATTTGAATGCCATTCCTTCTTTAAAATTTCAGATATTTATATTTTGATATTGATATGGAGAGAAAACTGTATCCTGGGTGAAGCGCACCTACTTTTGCTAGTAATGTATATGTTCATAAATTCGTTTTGCAATTGTTTCTGCTTGAGAGATTCATACATTGCTCATTTATTACAGAACTGATTCTCAGATGTATTTGAAAGTGTTCTCTCCTTGTTATGTCATTATTACTGATGCCTAGGGAATTATGTCTTCCACACTGCAAAATTAAACACTGTGATCAGAATTATGTTTTATGAACTACCAAATGTTTAATATGGATGTCAGTACTACTTTGGTTTGTAAATAAATTGTGAAAGATAGTTAATTGGTGTTTCTGTTATACAGAGTGCACCATTTTAAAATGCAACCCTAACAACTGCCACATACTGCAGTACAGAAAAGAACTCAGAAGCCAATACCCGATATAACAGACACCCCCAGCTTTCCTCATGACACTTGAATTAACCAACATTGCTCAGGTTGCTACACTTTTGTTCTTGCAAGTTGCACAGGAGGTTTGCAAGTGCAAGCATAGTGCATTTATGAGTAGAAAATGTGTTAATTCTTGAACATTACCTCACATTGAAATTGTCTGCCGCTGTTTATGAAGCATTTTCTAAACCATACATACATTGATTAGGAAGTACCAAATAAAACATTGCTGACACCAGCTGTCTGCTTGCATGCACTGTAGTTTGGGTTGCATTGTAAATGGAATGCCTTCTGCTTTTTACTGTGAATGTGTTTATATTTTATTTATGGTTCATTAAACAGCCTGTCAGAACTCATGGTATGTTACACTGGATGACAAAGTGATTTTAAAAGGGAATGATGAGTTAGGAAGCATAAGAAAGGGATCAGTTGTGGCTTAATTTGAGGTAGTATCCTGGAATTTTACTGGAGGGACTGAGATAAACCATGAAAATTCTCAGTCAGGATAGCCAGTTGCTGGGCGAAGATAGCATACAGGACCTCCAGAGTATGGCTGAGGACTGTTACCCATTTAACTGTAACATTTGGGTTTGTGGGTACAAGGTAGTGCTGAAATTATTCTAATTATTCTATATAGAAAGGTTCTGCAGAAACTGTAAAATGTAATTCAAGCATTATTATCAGTGCAGGTCAAATGCCTTGTCATTTCATTTTACACATGACAATAAATTTCTTTTGTAGCATGGACAAATATGTGTGTAGTTTTAAAGCAGTGTTGCTTAGGTTAAAATAAGCCTATACTTCATTTTCGATATTCTCTGAATAATAACTGTTTGTGCATTTTTTAAAACTTAGTTTTCAACTTCAGGCCTTTGTTAGCAGTTGCCTTTGTGGGATGTCGATGTTCCAAAGAGACAACCACATAAAGCTATAACAGGTATATATATTATTCACAAATATACAGGATGGCTGGGGAGCCATTCGTGCCCCCTCGGATAATATAAGTTGACTGTTTTCATAGCATCCAATTCGGCTTGTCGGTGCCATGAAGAATGCTGGCCCTGAAAAGGGCGTTGTCACCCGTGTCTCATTTGTAGTAGCCTGGGCCCTCCTTACGGTCACTTGGCAGTTACAAGCCAGTGAGTCTAGCTGGATAGTCAGGGCCTTCTTTTTGGCCGCTTGGTAGTTATGAACCGGCAGGAGAGCGATGAATCTAGCTGGCCAGGCGCTGCGGTGCTGTTTATTGGAGTTGTGCTTGCAGTGAAGCGCGTAGACCAACGAAGGCTGGACCGATGCGTATTCGTATGCAGAGCCGTGAGTGTGTTTACTAAAAGTCAAAAGTCACATATACCCTGAGAGTTAGAATTGTCTGTCTGACCGAAGGAGTTTGAGCTGTCTGTTTCTGTGACCGAAGGAGTAGTCTGTTGGACTGTAGGAGGTTCCCACACCTTTAACCATTTTTTTCATAGGAACAAAACACACATCTTTTCCTTATCAAATTTGCATTTAGCAGTGACAAATTTCGCACTTATAGTATTTTGTACCTCTGTTACTTGCTCATATGCCTAGTATATACACTGTACTGTGTAGAGCCATTTCTAGGCAATGGCTTGGCAAACAGGTTCCTGCGGCAACAGATATGCATGTAGCAATAGAGGTACTGTTAGAAACTGTTTTTTCTACCCAGTCTGTACCGAAATGTTATAACTGGGATGGTTTGGAGCAGCCAGTTGAGTGCTCACTTGACCCAGTTTATGAAGGAAGATCTCCACATGCAGGCACCCCACACCGTAATTATTCCTACCACCTGGAACAATATATCAATACATAGCAGTCAAAAAGTTTTAAAGAGGTTTGTAATATATTACAAATATCTCAATTTCTGTACAATTTTAATTTTGACTTTGATGGCTAAACATCAGGTTTTAACTGTAAATTCAAATTATGTATGTAACACTCATAAGAACACAATATTTAATTGAGATGCAATTCAAGAACTAATGCTAGTATTCCTATATGCCTGATGATGGCCCAGCATGAGGGTCGAAACATGTAGCATCAACAGCCAATAAACAAATGTTCATACATTAGTATCCTTTTTTTTAATGTTGCATAGACTGCCCCCATTATGTATATTATATATCCTATATATGATGAAGAGAAGACTAGGAAGTTGGTGTGAATTGGCCGCAGTTCAGTTAAAAGGCACATGGTTGGTTGGTCAGTCCAGTGCCACACATGTTAGCAGCCAAGTTTCTGCCACAAGCTTCAGGTAATGGATCAATCTAATTCTTATTGAATCCAGTATGAATAGAATCCATTTTCCTGTTCTCGCTGGAGCATCTTCAGTTCTCTATGCTCTTTTGCCAAAGCATTCTGCATCACAGCTGCCTGTGCCAAAGTGCCATCTGGGTTCTTGATAATTCTTACTGGACTAAGAACATGTAACATACGACCATAACCTCGCAGAAATGGAGATTCATCTTCCACCATTTCAAGCTCTGTGTCTTCTTCCTTTCATTCGAAGTGTAGGATTAATAAAGGGTTAATCAAAGGGGAGGCACAATAGATCATTGAAGGTCACAGTGCAAGGGCTGGATTTCATGGCCCAACCCTTATACATACATGTCTTCTTCCTCATCCTCTTCCTTCAGCAGGAGACCAGTCTCATCATCAAAGTCTGTCAGTTCTGATTTGTCAATACTTGCCAACTGCTCTCCAACTCCATCTGCAACCTCCTTACCTCTGACTCGACTTCTTGAATGGCATTTTCTTTTGTTATCATTGGGACTAGCACTCCAAGCTCTTGGCCTTCCTCTCTTTCCCTTACTGTTACTCCTGTTCCCTGTCTCTTCTCTTGCTTTCTCTCGGCTCATACTCCTGCTCTTCCTATGTCTGTCTTGGCTGTGGCTTCTCCTATTTTAATCTCAGCATCATCTTCTCTTTCCTGACTGTGGCTTTTCTATGTTTCTTTTTCCTGTTCCTGCAGCTACTGAGGTTTCACATTTACTGTCACTGGGAGAACTTGGTTCCAGTTTTATTCTTGAAGTATTTACCTGTGATGGTGCCAGGGTTTCCAGTTCTGCTATGCATCACTCACAATATCATCTTGTACTGATGATTTCTTCTTCCCCTTTTTCCCCCCCCCCCATTCCCTGCATTATGTGCCTGACACTTTGGATCATTTGGTATTGCTAGGCTATGAAACTTTTCTTTTTGTGACTGAGGAGACGATTATTTTTGATGCTTAGGTTTCATTTGCTGAATAATACACAGCAGGTTTGCAATAAATGAATCCAAAAATTCAGCTTGGTTCTTTACAAGGGCATTCTTGAAGGTTTCGAAGGTGTCACTCATCTCAGCAAGATAAATTATAGATTCTGCCAAATCCTTCTCATTTAAACCTAGGTGATTTTCAAGTTCAGTACAAATTTTGGATAAAGGTAAAGTTGTCCCTGTGCTTAACTAATTAAGCACTACGCCATGAAGGCGTATGGGGGAGCGGATGTACAGATCCACATTTTTTTGACCTCGGCACTAGTTGAAGGTAAGTGGTCAGCTTCACACCGCTGCCGCTTTACCCCCAGGCAAAGACCTCCCCCCGGTATCCATTGGATAGGAGGTTGATCCAGGTCCAGTCTGGATGAAGAGAAAATTGTTGCCCCCACCGGGCCTCGAACTCCGACCCCTCAGTCTTATAGTCTATAGCCAGTCGCTATACCGACTGCGCTATCCCGGGTCCTACAGATTTTGGATACCAATGATAAATGTTCAAGCCTCTCGTTTTAATTCATGTTTTATATCCTATGTGAACTGAGCACACAAGGATAAACCCGTCAAAAACATTAATGTCGCATGCGCTCTTTGACTTCTTCTTCTTCTGCTGCTTCTCCATAGCACGGCAAAAGTCACGGAGTAACGAAAGTGAAAATTATTATAGCGCTAACGCTATTTCTACACTTTAAGACTCGCTGTTACACACATGCGCTAGTCGTCTCTTGATAACGCATATAAAACACGGAAAACACAGCAACTATTAAGTCTCAAATTTAACACAGCAACTACCAAACCTACTGAACTGCCTTCTTCCTGGCGAAAGGTCTTCACTGTTTCCTATAGAGGCTGGGCACGGAAAACGCACTAATAATTTTACAACTAAATTTACTTCAGTCCAATGTGACATATAATGCCTTCACCACTTCAGCACTTAGTTACCTAACATGTTTCGATTCTTAATGAATCATCATCGGAGGTACACCACTACGATCAGGAACCCACCAATACGTCAATGTTTTTATAATACTATATACACTTAAAACATTTATGATACTGTTAATTTTGTTGTTAATTTTCATGTCGAAATGGATGTTTGACGTAAACTTTTATAATAAGCACATTCTTGAAATATATTACTTAGAAATGACGCAGTTGCAATCACTTCCATAAAGGATATTTTAAAAATGTAATTTTCCTCTGCACTGTATATAAAATTCAATTTGTTTCACCACAGCAGCTTTCCTTTACGTTAAAATGTTATGAATGTGTATAAAAACTTATTTTTAAGTTAGGAAATTTGTTCGTCAACCAATATGGATCGTGTTTTATCTTCCTCGGTAGTGGATACTGTCGTCTATCCCTGTTGGTGATGTGTTCTTGTTTTTCCTGGTGTAGTTTAAAGATGATGATTCATTACGAAACATGTTAGGTAACTAAGTGCTGAAGTGGTGAAGGCATTATATGTCACATTGGAATGAAATAAACTTAATTGTAAACTTAATAGTGTGACGGACCAGAGTGAAACAAATCAAATGCACTAATATTGTTGAGCAAGAAAGACAACAAAGAAAACGAGCCACGTGATAGCTGCCTCGCCCGTCCATTGGCGTAATAACTGCCGCCTTGCAATGAGCTGCAAACAATCGTCCTCTTGTTGAGCTCGCTTAAGTGATGTCTTTACCGTCTTTACGGTCTTTACCGCGCCGTTGTCAGCCTATACGGCCTATACACTTTACCGTTTATTCAAATGTTTTGGCACAGAGCATCATGGGTAATTACGTCAGTTTCCAGGATGAATTACCTACACTATTCTTCCGCGAAGTTAAAGAAACTAGAACCATAGAATTAGCCGTACTTGGATATATGTGAACATTGTTATATATTTTAAATGTTATTTACACAATGTTTTATAATAGCGAAGTTCAGAATTAGCCTAAATATGTATATCTTTATGAGGTCAGCAGGCACCGTGGCGTATGGATACATCTTGAGCGATTACGGATGAATTCTTCTTTCCGTCGCGCTGACCGTGAGTGGAACATGTCGTATACGTCTGATCGAAGGTAAGCGTTTGAATATTGTAAAGGATGTAGTATGTGTAGTTGTTTTACGGAAGTATTTTCTACGCTGTGGTATTGTTTCTTTTACGCGGTATGTTTCATACTTATTTTGAAGTCACATTAACCTCCTGGATTGGTATTGTCAAGGTTTCTGATCTTATGGCAAAGGTGCCAACATGGCGTTCGGCTGTAGTTTGGAAGGGACCCCAAAAATATTTTTTTGTCTACCGTTTTACTGTAGTAAGGAATAGTTCATGCTGTCGTACATTTGTAGTGTTTTGTATAGATTTTGGTTTTAAAAATTTGCCCCGGATTGGAACACTGTAAAACTACTGATCTTTCCACTGAGGAATTTTGCCGCATATGAAGCACGTTTTGGTTTTCCTCTTGGCAGCCAGTGTATCAGTTATGAGTGACGTATGGCATGTGTACGTACTGATGTGCAAGGAAATTGGATGTTTTCCTCTTGTGTTCAGAAGTTATTGCAAAAAAGGCCAGCAATGAGAAGAGGTAAATTATTTCAAATAATACTTGTCTCTCTAATGCTGCAGAACCTGGTGTTGTGAAATCCGCTAGGTTATGACGTGCATGGTTTATGAGTCATAAGGACATATGGTCTTTGTAATTTGAACTCTTATGTTATGTGTATGTGTTTAATGAAATATTTCAGAATCGTTTTTATGGGGAACAGCGTTTCATTAGGTGACATTTTGTTCTGGAATTTGACTTTGTGTTTGTGTTAAGTTATTGAATATTGTTTGTTGTCTCTGTTGTTAGTGTTGTATGAAAATTGAATGTTACCAAAATATGTGATCTGATCAGAAATCAGTAGTATGTTACTGAAATTTTGTAGTGCCTGTACATTAACATTCAAACATGTATTTGATGTCTTCTTTCTGTAGGAATGATGATTGGTCTGGTGGTGAATCTAAGAATGGGCCAAATGAGAAAGATGAGGCTTATGATGGACCACCTGGAATGGACCCTGATGGTATCATTGAATCAAACTGGGAAGAGGTGAGTTGAGTTGAGTTATATGGCAAGAATTATTGTTCTCTCCCAATTTATTTACTGCCAGTGACCTTGGAAAGTGTAAAATGGTATTTGTGCCCTGCACTAGTTCCCTTGCAGGCAAATGTTTCTTCTGCGTGTCTCTTTCTCCATCTCTTCATTTGCTGGAATGGAAGAATATGCCTGTGATTCTAGTAGTAATGGAAGGGTCATATCAAACCTTTAATTGCATTGTTTTCTGCATGCTAAGCAGGCTCCCATTCGTAATTCTTTTTTCCTACAATTTCTAGAGGTTTTTATAAGAAATGTTACGTAGTTAGGTGAATCAGCTTTTGTAATATGATGTTTAGCAATGCTTGGTGTGATCCTGGGTATGGTATTCATATGCAGTGGGACCCGCATTTAGTGTAACTGACACAGTGGACATGCTCATAGAACTGAGAAAGATGCTAGTGGAGGAAACATAACACTGAGACAGCTGATGTGTGAGATCTTTGTGCAGTACAAGGGGAAAATGTTGAAAATGGATTTGGATGGCTGTAACATTGCATATAGCGTGCATGCCACCAGACTGTCCTGCACTTGGCCGTATGTTACCTGAGCTTTTGCAACTGGTTTCAAGACTGGCGTTATGCTGTAATTGAATATATTGGTTGGAGGATGAAGGTGTCTTATGGTGTGTAATGGGAAAGAGATTTGTTGATGCCTTTTATCATGGTTGTGTTGATGAATCACAGTGGAGGTGTCATGTATGAGGGAAGGAAGGGAACTACAAGGAAATGAACATGCTTTGAAAGATCAGAATTGGATTTTTCTCTCTGGTTACATAAGTTTTGCTGTCAGATGCCATGATGGAATTGCATATCTGCTGTCACAGTGCGATTGCTGGGGAGCCTGCTGCAGATCTTAACAGCCAGTGCACCAGGTGGAACACACTAGTCATGTCACTTTGCACAATTCAGGGTCAGCAGGTCAATAATAGCCTGTACACTTAACAATTTTCCTTCACTGTTGGGCAGAAAAGCAGTCAGTGCACACTGAAGAGAAATTGGAACTGGATTTGTATTTTCCCCTCAAAAAGTCCATATGCACCTTACACTGGAGACTGGTGTTTAAAGTTTCAAGTTTGCTCATTTTCCAAAAGTACCTCAGCAGGTTAGTGTAAATGTTTCACCAAGATGCCAGGAATATGCGTATAGTGGGAGGGGTATTTCGGGCATCTGCTGTATAATATGGGTGTGGTTTGTTTGTGAGTTGTTCAATGGACATGTTTTGCTGTACTGACGAGCCTGTTCCTCTACCACTCTACTGGCCAGAGAATATGCAGCAGACTCAGATAACCTCCCATACAAGTTTGTTAGATGCTGATGGCATTTGAAGCTGATGCACTTCAGAATCCACACATATACACATGTAACTTACGTTGATGTTGACATGTGCAACTTCCAGCAGGTGTATAAAAGCTTCAGACAGAAACAGAGCCGAGTGAGTTCATTGCATTTGATGGGGCACATATACAGGATGTTTCACAACTTTAGGGCATAACTGTAAGAAGTGATTTCCTAGGTCTTTGTGATCAAGAAAGTTCATATAAGCATGTGTCCGATTTTCAAGTTATGACCGTTTTAAACTCAGAATAGAAGGTAACGATTACTGACAATAAACGGAACAAAATAATAAACGAGCATAATACATGATACATTTAAAGTATGAATGTAGAGTTAACTTCGTGAAATTACCTTTAATTTGAATTGATTGGTGCTTAAAGCTGATTTTCGAAAATGCCCCCGCCAGCCACAACACAGGCTGCCGCTCAGTTGTGAACTGTGGGTAGCACGTAGCAGCTTCAACTGGCTGTTTCTTATGTGGTCAGCGGCATCCAGAATGCGACCGAGCAAAGCATCTCACGTTGCCACCTTCACATTGTAAACCAGTTCTTTCATCCATCCCCACACACAATAAATCAGTGGGCTTAAGTCTGGAGACCTGGATGGCCAATGGTGGGGACCGCAGCGTCTGATCCATCGCCCGGGGAAATGATAGTTCAGGAAATTTGTAACTCCATGTGAAGAATGAGGAGGAGCCCTGTCACCTTGGAAATACATACGACTTCGTTTATCCAAAGGCACATCCTCCAAAAGTTGGGGCAAGTCCTGTAGAAATCTGAGGTATGCCTCTCCTATAAGATGACCTTCCAAGATGAAAGGACCTATCAGCTAATCGTCCAGAACTGCACACCACACATTGACACTGAAACGTTGTTGAAAGTTGCTTTCAATAGTGGCGTGGGGATTCTCATTTCCCCACAAATGAGAATTGTGTGTATTATTGACGCCGCCGTGATTAAATTGCGCTTCGTCTGTAAACATAATATAACGATGCAAATGGCGACTCCCATTGAGCCACTTGCAAAAGTTCAGCCTCTCAGCAAAATCTTCAGGTTGGAGAGGTTGCACTTGCTGCACGTGGTATGGATACATGCCCTCTGCATGCAGTGTTCTCCACACTCTCGTGCGGGGAACATGAAGACGTCTTGCAATTCTTCGCGTGCTCGTACGTGGACTGTGGTGTACCATACAAACAACGCCTTCTTCATTAACGCCTTCATTAACACCACGCTTGGCTGCAATACGAACGCCGGGAAGTCTGCCGGTATCTCGCAATGCCTGGTAAACTCCAGTAAACACTCTCTGGTTCGGCATTCTATGATTTGGAAACCGTTGCCGATATTCAGGTATGGCAAGAACTGAGTTACCGTCACAAAACCTGTACATATAAATCATATCTGCATACTCCTCAAATGAAAACGTAAATGGCATCGTGAACATAACAGACGCACTGAGATAAGAACTGTTCTGAACACCAGTAGCCTCCAAACTAGCCATGGCCAGACATACCAACCCACCACGCCTTAGGTACCTCTCAAATGTTGAGATAAAGAGAACGCTCTGTCTGTAGCTGGCTAAAAATAGTGACCCGCCAAATGATAGTTGCAGTTCACACAAGGGCGTGTACGGGAATGAAAGAAATGGGTCATAACTCCGTAACTGTCCAAAATCAGACAAATGTTTATATGCCCTAAAGTTGTGAAACACCCTGTATTCATGTTCGTAAGAAGAGCCGAGCATATTAGAATTACTATAGTAATTAGCAGTGTTGTAGTATCACACAGTTTTGTGTTATGTGAGTTTGTATTTCACTTTGTGAATTTTATGTATGATTCTGTGCTTCATCAGTGTGTACAGTTTTCTGAAGTGGCTGTATTTTGGTTATTTTTTAGTCATTGTTACTTTTTATGTTGGAGAATGGGAGCAAGGGGAGTGGAAAGTGACATAGAATTATGGGAAAAGCTTGAGAATTGGCTTGACTTCCCCTTTTCTGTCTCTTTCCCCCCACCAACCAGTTCCTTGTGCTGTCTGCATATTGCTGTGACACTGAAGAGTCCAGACTGTTCCTGATCCCATGCATACAGAGTAATGTGAAGTCCATCTGGAGAGGATAGGCAGGAAGGAGAAAGAATGAGAGTAGTGAAATGTTTCAGATTGTGGGAAATAAATGAGAGAATTACGGGGTAAAGAACTATTAAGCTTATTTTGGACTCTATCCATCATCTGGTATATAGAAGACAAAAACCACAACATTTTGGAGACTGGATCTGTGTCCGTCCTCCGGTGGTTGGGGCAGGATAAACCTACTCAGTTGGGCCCATTAGAAAGAGCTAGTCTCAGTCACTGGTTTTTTGTCTTCTTTATATCAGACGATTGATAGAGTCCAAAATTAGCCTAATAGTTCTGTACAGCATACACCATCGTCAGAATCCTTTCAAGGCTATTTACGATTATGGAGATTTTGCACTTCATCCATATTCAAGTACTGTGAAATTAGTGAACAACATTTCAGAAGCTGGGTCTGTTTCCTTCCATCCTCAAGTGAAAAAGGGGGGGGGGAAGCACCTACTCTGTTGGGTTCCTTTGAAAGAGCTAACCTCAATCAGTTACAGGGACAGCTTTACCCTTTTTTAATTTTTTAAGTGTACTACAGGTGTTTGATACTGTATTACCATTTGGCAGTCAGTCTTCCTATGGATAGACTGCTGTGAATCAGTACTGAAATGGTTGAGTAGCAGAACAGCAGTGGATGTTTCTGTGTTCAGATGAAGACTGTGTGATACTGTTGCAGTTTGCAGTTAGACTCGCTGTGTTTGTCATTTACATGTTACCTTCCTCTGTCATGTTATACAGTTCTTAGTTCATAGTGACAACCTCACTCATGTGTCACTGCAGTGAAGTAGCCAAATCACTTTGTAGTGCATGGTTTGTGATCTTTTGATGCATAGGCCACTTCCAGCTTTGAGTAACTGCTCTTGAAGGTACTTAATTAAATCTGTTGTAGCCTTTTGGAATGCTTAATTAGATCTTGGAACTTGACTTTGTTATTGTGTGTAGAACATTGGCTTCCTCCATCTTTGTAGTCTTGACAGACAGTCACAGGCATTTGCTAATGCTGTATTGTTTGACTTGCTCCATTCTGGCATATGTCATCATTGTATGCTGACATAGTGTGAAGGAACTAGATGAATATTTACCCTTCAGAAAGTGGCTGTAAGGTACATGGCAGGGTTAAAACAACTGGAAGCCTGTAGAGATAATTTGAGGTAACTAATGATACCACCAGGAGACTCACTACTCATTGAAGAAACAATCTCATATGCAAAAGAAAAATGGAACTGCACTGTAAATAAACAAATATGAACATACGAGGCAAGAAATATTGACTGTCTTAGATTATACATAATTTAGAACTTCATAACAGTAAACCGTCAGTACTGGGTTTATCTTCTATAACAAATTGCCTAACACCATAAAACAAGTAGGTGACAACCAGTTTAAAAAGGAATTGAAGGAGGCTATTATTAAGTAGAAGATTATCTGAATGAATAATTCTGTAATATTGGCTACTGATAAGCAGATGTATAGAATAAGCTTTATTTCTAACAAGTTTATATCATAATCATTAATACATTTTAATAATGATATAGATGGACATGTTCTGTTTCAGTGTATTCTGATCTGCAGGATAAAATAGAAATGAAACACAACTGTACAGAAGGAAGGGAAGTCTGAGTGAGCATTCTTGGAAGGATGCGTGTGGAGACAAATCATTTGTGTTATTTCTGTAGAATAATTGTGATTCGCATGGTGATAGGTATCAAGGTTTAGGATCTAATGCCATATATTCGTTTGGTAGACAGTGAACATCGTTTTGTAAGAACTTGCTACTTAATATATTCAGGGATACTTTTTTAACACCATAAAGAGATTTAACGCATTGGTATTTGTCTACCAAACTAAAGGGCATGTCATTCCAGAAGACTGTGTTGTCAATTTTTACTTTTGTGAGGCCCTCAAAATCTTGTGCATTGGTCACATTCATGCAACTTCTGGTATTTTTCCATTTCGTTTCTGGTTTAAGGGTGTACTTTTAGATTTTGTCCATTGCCTTACCTTCTGTTGCCGTGGTCCAGAATATGTGAGTAGGCCTTTTCTGGGGGTTCAGCAGAGTAAGAATTTCTTTTTGTCCTGTCAGTGTGAGGGTAACAACTCGTTCAAGTTCCGAAGTGTGGTTTTTATGTAAAAAACCAGAATGACAGGTGATGTGCAGACGAAAATCTTAACCTTTAAGTGCCTAGTGACACCATGGCTGTGCGACACCGTATGGGTACTCCGCGTGTGTACAATGTTTTAAAATCTAATTTTAAGGTAGAAATTCTTGTTCTACTTACATTATTTTTGGCCACCAGCTTTTTAAGTAGACAGTCTTCCCTCCTGCGTCATCTAACTAAATATTGCCTTCATGTGGTACTGTTGGAAACATCTGGAAATGAGAGTTTGACGTCGCAATTCATGCACTCTGTCTGGATGTAACTCCGTTTCCCACACGAAGAGCACGCACAACACCTCAGTCTCGTATTAGAGGAAGTCGGCCAGTGATGTCAAGTGGCCTCCTCTAATCGAGATATCGCCGATGACACAGCAGGAGGTGGACCCCTTGCAGCATGTTCCAGCATGTTCCGCACAAGGGCGAGACAAAATTCTCTGTGTGACAATTTCGCGCCACAGGATGACGACAGGATGAAACTGTTCAGAATCATCAGATCCAGGAGATGGAAAAATAGTTTATTTGTCCATTTCCAGGTCCGACGACTGATGCTATAACTGTTTGCCATTCTATCCGCTTTGTCAACATAACCCATGTGCGTGTTGTAGTCAACAATTGCTGGCTTGATGGCATTTCCATGCTCATCACAGAAACTGCCTTCTGCTGGAGGACAGTGCATGTTTTGTCAGTATGTAAACATCACATTTGTCCTTCAGAACTAGTGCTGTCAAGTTCCGTCTCACCCTAACACAAATGTCACCTTTCTTCAGTCAAAATTGTCTTCGTCAAAAATCGTCAGGCAAGCCCTTCTGATTAGGTCTGACTGTCCCACAGCACATTATGTCCTTTGTCATCAGTTTGTCAAACAAGTCTGGTGACGAAAGGAAATTGTCCATGTATAGTTTGTGACCTACACCCTCAGTACGTCTGCATAGGTTCATAACTGTAGCATGTGTCGCTTTCACGTGTCCGCACATGTCGTGTGTTTTCCTAGGTAAACCTTCATGTCATAAGTATACCCAGAGGCATCACAAATTTTGAAGATTTTGATTCTGACACGTTTGTGTTTCTTAGGAATGTACTGCCTAAATACCACCCTCTTTGAATTTAACAGTTATCTTGTCTATAGCCAAATGTTCGGAAGGGTTATAATATTTTTCATATGCGTCATTGAGAATGTCGAAGATGGTCCGAATTTTCCATAGTCGGTCATAACTGTCGGCATTCCTGTCAGTTTCTGTATTGTTGTCTGCAAAATGAAGAAAACGAAGAATGTGTGGAAAACAGTCGCGTTTCATTGTGTTAGAGTAGAAAGGCGTGGCAAATTGTTCTACAGTTGACGAGTAGTACTTTAGTCTGTCTCTAATGTCATGTTCCATTTGAATGATTATTCCTAGAAACAGAAACATCTCGGAACCGGTCACGTCAGGCCACAGAGAAGGTCCGTCTTGTAGTCTGTTTAGGTACTGGTGGTAGAGCATGAAAACGCAGAAAGGTGTGGAATCCTTATTTACGTGTGGAGCTTCATTGATATTTAACTCCACAGCTCCACTGGTATAATTATTCACACCCATCCTGCATGCTGGTCTGGTGGTCCCTAGGTTGCCAACGAAGATTATTCTTCGTCGACTTCGGTTTCTGAGCCCGTTGCTTCCTCGCCACTCTCAGAGTCGTCTGTACCACAGTCTGAATCGGTGTCATTTATCAGCTGCCTCTCAATTTTGGCTTCCATGCAAAATGAGGCCATGGTGGATAGTTGAAATTGCAATGTTTTATAAGCTTTACGAACACGAGCTAGGCTTGAACATTCTGGCAATGCGGGGCTATTCTGAGAACTACCTTTGTGTGGCTAGTCTGAGATATACACAGTCAGAGTTTCTGATGGACAAAGTAGGATAAGACTTCCACCACACTCGTGCATACAGAAAGGTTCTGACGTGACTGGAGAATGTGCAATACAAACACATACTTCAACCCCTTTTGCCAGATAAGACATAGTAAGTCAGGATGTCAGCAGCATGCGTTTATACTGCAGAAACTGTATGGATATTTGTAGACACTCGAAATTGGGAAAAAATTTCTTTTTGGAATAAGTGTAACAGATCTTACAGATTTTAAAATCTGTAACTTACAATATCTGATTCTATATTCTTTCTAGATAAAAGCAGCGTTTATTTCGTTCGTTTATCACAACAGTTGTAGAAATCAACATTTTCAGTAACATGCTTACAATTTTTAATACTCTGCAATGGCGGGCATTTAAATTAACTCCGGCCTGCTGCCATTACCGGAATTTAAATGGCCCGCCTCTTAAAGGTTAAATGTTATCACTCCATCATTAGATTTAAAATTTGTTTATGTATGGATTGTTTCTCAGGGGCACATGCTAGTGTAGTGGGTTTGAGGCACTATGCTACAAGCCGGAAGGTTGTGGGTTCAAGTTCTGATAAGGTCATTGGATTTTTTCAATTGACCTAAACCTTCCAGCCACACTGGCCCTGGGGTCAACTCAACCACTAACAGAAATCAGCACCAGGAATATTTCTGGGGTGTAAAGGGCGGCCAGTGCATAAGGCTGACAACCCCACTGCCATCTGTGAGCTGACTGTCTAGAAAAAATGTGTGAGCCTCGACCTCTGACAACCCGTGATTCTCCACGGCCTGTTACAGGGATAGCTTTGCCGTTATTGCTTATGGATTGTTTCTCCATCTTTCATTACAGGTTGTTGACAATTTTGATGATATGAATTTGAAGGAGGAGCTGTTACGAGGAATCTATGCTTATGGATTTGAAAAGCCTTCAGCTATTCAGCAGCGTGCTATTATCCCGTGTGTAAAGGGGCATGATGTTATTGCTCAAGCCCAGTCTGGTATGTGTTCACATTTTCTTTTGTCTCACTGCTTCCCCCTTACTGCATATGTTAATTTAGGGAATAAGTGCTTTTTTTTTTTCTGTGGAGAGAGGGGGAGGCGATGTATCAAGCCCTGTCTTCGCACTGGTAACTGTATCAAGTTTAGGCGAAGTCTTCAACCATCCAAAAGATGTACTCTTATATATGGTGCATGTGTAGTTCAAGGTTGTTTTGTATCTCTGCATTGCTATTTTACAGTAATTTACATCTGATCATATTTTTTAATGATATTCCTCTGAAAGTCCAGTTTTTTAATTTGAGAAAGTTAACACTGTGAAAATAGGGCCTACATCGCAGTCTGCCACATGTCTGAACTGAGGTTTTCCCCATCTTTTATTAATCCATTGTATGGATATTTAAATAGCCTGCTGTCTGTGAAGTGGTATTTAGAGTCTGCTGTATTGCTCATTCAGCTTACCATTTCCCTGAAAGTAGAGGACACAAAGAAACTATGCACTGATAGTAAACAGTTGCGACTAGTAACTAACAGCATGGAGTTGAGCCCTTCTTAAGAAGCCACCAATTGTGCAGCTACTAAAGAACTTCTAAGCATTTTATGAAACCCAAAAGTTCTTTACTGTGTTCACAAGAGCCCTCCACTGTCCCCTATCCTAAGCCAGATTGATCCAGTCCATACCACCCCATCCTATCTAAGTTCCATTTCTACGAGGGTTGGAACTTTAATAGTGGCAACATTGCTGTAGACGCCATGCAACAGAGCCAAATAATGTCGCTTATACCACACATTAGTTACATACCTACCTTACCTCAGAGCAAATGGACTCTCCCTTCCCACATCACAAGCATGCACAGTGATGGGAAGAACAGAGCCTCATATTAGCTGGCAGTCTAATTTAGTGTTGTCACAATGTTTTCGAAACAGGAACAGTGGAGTTGGATAAAGATTGAATGTGCCAGAGGCCATATGGCATGATAGTGTCATCAGGGTCTTCAAGAGGCTTGCAGGGAATCTGCATTTCCATACAGAACAGTTGAAAGGTGGGTAAAAGCCTTCAACGAGGGATGCCAGAATGTGGCAGACATGCGTCGGCCAGGTCATCCTAGTGTCTGAAGAAGTGTATGCTCTTTCCACGTTACTGGTGAGTGATCGACGCCATACGATTTGTGAGCTGCCCCAAGAGACAGGATTAGCACATACGACTATGCTTCACATTCTGAAAGAACACCTGGGCATGAGAAAAATTGCATCACGATGGATTCCACATGATTTGATGGAAATGCAGAAATGGTTACGATATCACGCTGCTCATAACCACTTGGAGCACTATGAGCGTCAAGGAGAGGCTTTCTTACCCCATATCATTACACTGGAAGAGACATGGACCAAATCGTACGGGCCACAAATGAAACACCAGTCGAATGAATGGCATCATTACGGATCACCACGAAAATCAAAAGTTCGTCAGAACCCCAGCAGTGTGAAAGTTTATGGTAATTCTCGTGTACAACTGTGATGGTGTTATCCTGACGCATACCATTCCCCAACAGCAGAACGTCAATGCGCAGTATTACTGTTCATTTTTGGAACACAACCTGCAACCACCTTTGAGATAGGAGCAGCGACGCTTTCTGCAGAAACCACCCATCATTTTGCAGGACAGTGCTCGGCCGCATGCTGCTCAAGCTGTGGCTGATTTGGCAATCGATGTTGCTGGGAAGTGCTGTACCATCCACCATACTCCCCAGACTTAAGCCCTTGTGACTTTGACTTCATTTCTAAGATGAAGGAACCACTTTCTGGCATTCGCTTCACAACTGTTCCAGAGATTCTTCAGGCAGTAGACTGCTCCATTCGAACTATGAACACAACAGATGCTGCTAAAGGTGCTCTACAACTTCCACAATGCTGGTGATTATATTGAAGGACAGTAAAACTTCGAAACATGCATCTATTTTGTATCAGTTGTAAATAAATAGTTGCCACTATTAAAGTTCCAATCCTCGTATATTACCCACTGACCTATGTGTTGGTCTTCCTAATGGTCTCTTTCTTTCTGGCTTTCCCACCAACATCATATATGCATTCCTCTTCTCCTTTCTTGCAATATGCCCCACTCATCTCATCCTCCTTTGTTCTCAAACACCCTCAGTCTGTGTTCCTCCCTTAATATCAAAGACCAAGTTTCACACCCATACAGAGCCAGAGGCAAAATTATAGTTTTTGTGTTTTTAGACAGAAGACAATAAAAGAAAAGGTTCTAGACTGAGTGGTAGCAAGAATTGTCCTGAATTCACTCTCCTCTTAATTTCCTCCTGAATCAAGTTTTGATTTCTTACTATCATTCCCCTGTACAAGTATATGAACTTTGTCATTTTCAAAGCATCAGTTAGCTACAGTTGCGACTAGTGAAAAGTTACCTCCATGCCACTTTGTCATTTTCAAAGCATCAGTTAGCTACAGTTGCGACTAGTTAATGTGAAAAAGTTACCTCCATGCCACCTGTGAATGCAGAAGTGAAAACAGAGTACCAGGGATAGTTGAAAACTCGTGTAAGACACTGTTAATGGACTGCCATTACTGTCACAAGTCTGTCTGGACTTGCTGGCACAGCAGCATATTAAGAAACCCTTGTGGCCTCAGTTTGAAATTTTTCATACTTGCAGTAACAAATAATTGTTCATTTGTAGAGGCTTCACATTTGTTGTTCTGTTACAGGGACCGGCAAAACTGCCACTTTCTCGATTTCAATACTGCAGCAGATTGATACATCTAACCATGAGTGCCAGGCTCTCATCCTGGCCCCAACCAGGGAGTTAGCTCAGCAGGTATTTGAAGCAATTTAAAAATAAATGCACTGTTTGTTTCATCTTCCAAAAAGAGTGGAGTATACCCGCCACAGGGCAACAAATTGCGAGTGGTGAAGCAATTCACAGTCATGGCTGTTCTTTAGCTGTGTTAGGAAGGAGGCAGTCATGTTCACATGCATTTATATTAGTCGCACTTGAATAACGTGGACATTTCTTGCACTCTGTATGGCCTGTCACCTATTTGAACACAGACTGGTGTTTCCCATACAATTTTACTTATTTAGGTTGAATGCATGACATAATGGGAAGATCAACATACTGTGACCTGAGTCCTGAAAGCCGGAATAATCCATTGCCAGACAGTGGCTCACTGTTACATGTTTCTGTGACAAGCCAGAAAAACAATTTACTATTCAGTGGAATGGTAAACACTGCCTAAAAGCTGGAATAGTGGAGCCAGACACAAACTACCCATTTCAGTAGGCCATGGTTCATGCATGTTTCCTAGAATGCATTCATGAAGAGCAGTAGTGGAACTCTTGGAGGTGGTGGTCCTGCATTCAGTTCTTCCGAAGCTATGAAGGGAGGTCAGACCAGACCAGATGCATGAAGTCAGAGTGATGTGGGAAGCCATCAGTCGAAAGGAATTCAGAAGGCAGCTGCATAGTTGAAGTCTTGAAGACATCATTTCATGTTTGTAATTGTAAAAGAACACCATTAAATCCATCCATCTGATCTAAAACCTGTTTACATGTGAAAATACATTTCATCTTCATAGGACATGGCAGACAACCTTGGAAATGACTTGTGTAATGTTCCGGTACTTCTAAATAGCCGAGGGAGGCACATGGTAGAGTAGTTGGTTGAGGCACTAATGCTATCAGCCTGAAGGTCATGGGTTTGATTCCTGATGAGGTCATCGTATTTTTCAATTGTCCTAATCCATCTAGCCACGCTGTGGTCCTGGGGGTGACTCCGCATCTAACAGAAATGAGTACCAGGAATCTTCCTGAGGGTAAAAGGTGGCCAACCGGTGCGTAAGGCAGACAACCTCACCACCATCTGTGAGCTGGCTGTTCAGAAAATGTGGGGTCCTCGACATCTCTCAACCCTATGGGCCTCCATTGCCTGTTACTGTGATAGCTTTACCTCCCTCTTCCTATTTTGGTCATATAGGTAGCTTAAGTCTGTGTTCACCTGATGGTATCTTATGTTATTTAAACAAAAATAATTGATTGTGCCTTGTAATAATTATGCCTTTAATATGTCTGGCAATGGACATGCAATAAATGAACACAAAGCAAGAAAGGAGATAATATAGTTGCATTTGGAAGCTGTTTATATCAAAATGGACTTCACTCTGCTGTACTTGTTGGTTTTGTGTGTATTTTTGGTAGGCACCTGCACAAACGACATTTTCAGTTTTAAGCTAGAAATTGGAGAAATATTGAGTTGGAATGAAAACAGAAATCAGCTTTACTAGATTTTTCATCATAGTGACAGTTTATAAGCCACGTATCAAATTGTTATACCTATGCCTTTTGATATAGGATCCTTTTTCGGTGAAAGCCTTTCATAAACCATCTCTATATAAAAATTCAGTTCCACAGCCACATCATTTTTCATCGTTGACAGAAAGGGGGCAGATGCAGATTCTGTTGACAAGTTGGTTTTGTGTTAGCATTGTGAGTCTGATGGATGGACTAGTTGCAGCAGTTGTGTTTTGGTAGTGAAGAAGGTTCTATTCTGGAAGCGGAAGAGTCCCCACAGGTTTTTTTCTCTGGAAATTAAACTCCTTACTGTTTGAATGACACGACACTGTTCTTAATATTGCCCTGTAAGTCTGAAGTAACTGTCTGCTTATATTCTTTGTCAACAGATCCAAAAGGTGGTTATTGCTTTGGGTGACTTTATGAGCACCCAGTGCCATGCATGTATTGGTGGTACCAATGTCCGAGAGGACATGAGGAAACTTGATACAGGAGTTCATGTTGTGGTTGGCACTCCTGGTCGGGTGCATGACATGATTAGCAGACGAGCTCTAAGTAAGTAGATTCTAAAGTGTTCTTGACAATGGTGTATGACACTCAGGATTACTGGGTAATACTCCAGTATTCTAAAACCTAGAGAACAGAATGCTTTGGACACTAGATCTGTTTCCATCTCAGGTTAGGATAAGACAGTGGTGAAGTGATTGAGCTTAGCCCTTTCTAAGGGACCCAGCAGAGTAGGTGTCCAACCCTCACCTGAGAATGGAAACAGATCCAGTTTCCAAAACATTGTGTTCTCTAGTTTATAGAATACTGGATGATTTTTTTAATTGCTAGTGGGGTGAGTCTTAAGTCCCTTGTACTTAGGCCACTTCTGGCTTATTATACCAGCCCCAGATGATAGGTGAGGGTGATTGTGGAGCAATTGGTGGAATGAAGATTGGCAGGGGAAACTGAAGTACTCTGAGAAAACCTGCCCCAGTGCCAGTTTGTCCACCACAGATCCCACTTGACCAGTCCCAGGATCGAAGCCAGGCCGCCGCACTGAGCAGCCAGCAGCTGACCTCTTGAGCTATGACGCTGCCATACTGGATGATGGACAAAGTCCAAAAACCCAGTAGTTCTAAGTAATACGGTGACCCATGTTTTTTATATTCTCATTCTTATTAGTTATTAGAGATTTATTTCACCCATCAGACTTTACCGGGCTCTTAAGTAATACAGTTAATTTCCATTCCTTGAATTCCTTAAGTGTTAATAATATAAGTATTGAGACTATATGGTGGGGCATGTGGTAGTGCAGTTGGTTGAGGCACTATGCTACAAACCGGAAGGACGCGGGTTCAAATCCCAATGAGGTGGATTTTTCAATTGACCTAATCCTCCAGCTGCACTGTGGCCCTGGGGTCAGCTCAGCCTGTAACAGAAATGAATACCAGGAATCTTCCTGGGGGATAAAGGGCTGCCAGCGTGTAAGGCTGACAACCTTACTGCCATCTGTGAGCCAATTGTCCAGATAATGGGGGACCCTCAGTGTCTCAGCCCTACAGGCCTTCATGGCCTGTTAACAGGGATAGCTTTACATTTTACCTTACCTTTGAGACTGTATGTAGTGTTGGGTGATGAATTAGAAGTGCTTTGAAGGAAACTGTCATACTCTAACCAGGTAACCTGTCCCAGCATATACATGGAAGGACGGGAAATCCACAAAGCACCCCATTAAGGGAAGCTCTTTCTGTGGCCAAGATTTGAATCAAGCACTTCCCATGTACAAGCGTAGGGCGTTACTTGTTTGTTCACCGTTTGTTCATTCAGTGAAGTAAGGTGGTGCTGCCATTATTACTAATATTTTTGCATTTTCATCTTCTCGATTTGGTAAGCTATTGGGGTAATTCTTTATCATGAATAACATTCCAAATGAAAATTTTGAATCAAACTTTGCTGCAGTGGAATCCCCATTGAATTACGATTTTCTGTGTTCAGATTTTGTGATTCCAAGTTTGTTAATTTTATTTTGGCTATATGTATAGCCCATTGTAATGAAGTGAATGTGAATCATGGATATTTGGGATGCATAATGCTAATCTGATGTTCCTGTGGTACTAGCTGTTACCCTGAGCAAGGCCTGGTGACAGTCTTTGGTATAATCGAACTTCTGATGTCACCACCAAGTTCAAGAAACCAAGTTGCTGTGCAACCATTCCATGTGGCATGGAATTAGGTTAGGTTACAAATTAACTCTTTGACTGGCGCGGGCGTGTTTTAACACCCGGACGATGCCAGCCGTTCCCTGGTGTTGGCGTGTTTTAACGCTTTGACAAACTCTCCCCTTCTTTCCTCTCTTGGCACTCATCAACCAAAGACATATGTATGATAGTTTTTGTGCATGTTTGTAAAGAACCCTTGTAAACTTTGTGGGGGTCTGTATTACTGTCAGAACCCTCTGAGAAGGAAAAGGTCAGAAAATATTTCACATTCATTCAGTTTCACCATGGCTTCTTGCAGCAAGTGTCTTCGTGTTCCTACAGACCAGCTGGAAAATGTTGTGAACGAGATTTATTCTGATGATAGTGGCGATGAAATAATGATTCCTGAATTGGATGAAGTTGATAGTGACAATAATACAGTGATAGACAATGATCAACAAGACAGTAATCATGAACATTTACCTACCAAAAGTGCGGTGCCTGACACGCCCATCTCATGAACGTACGGAGACCTTGTACCCCCAATATTTCCATTTGCTAATAGTTTCAGGATCAAAATTGACATAACACATAAAATGCATCCCTTTTCATGGATTAAAATTTTTTCTGGATGACGACTTGGTAAATCACATCACAACTGAAACCAATCGCTATGCTCACCAGCACTTCAACACACATGAGTTAGCTCCTCACTCTCGAAAACACAATTACAATTATGTCACATCAGATGAAATCTGGACATACTTAGGAATTGTGTTCAAGACAGGAATCGACAAACGCCCTGAAATTGAAGAATATTTGTCCACTAGGCCCCTATTTCACACCCATGGTATGGACAAAACATGTCTTTGCGGTTGAATAGTTTCATTCTATTCAAAAAGAACACAACAAACGAAAAATACAAGAAGAGAAATTACAGATTCAAAGATTTTATATTGCACTGTGTAGAAAAATGACTGAACCAAACAAAGAGGGTGGAGAGGGAGAAGAGTCAAGGAATGAAGTGGATGACGAATCTATTGCTTCAGACTCGAGTGCAGTCACGCCTCCGCCCTCGACCTTGAAAAGACCACCAGTGAAAGAGCCAGTAAATCGTCCAGAGGGTGGCTTGAAAATTCACAAAATGGTCCATGTTCCTCCCAGTAACAAGAAGAAAGGTGCCCTGAAAAAGTGTCACGTGACTGCTAAGCACAAGATTAGAAAAGAAACAAGTATCATGTGTGCAGGCTGTGGTGTGGCTCTCTGCAAACTTTCATGTTTCAATGTATATCACATGAAGAAAAACTAATAAAGAGGTATGGAAAGGCATTTATTGCATAAAATATTGTATTTTAATTAGTTCCTGAAATTTTCGTTTTTAAGAACCAATTTTTGTTGAAGTTGTTTAGGAAAAAGTAACTACATGCATTTTAGCGACATAAGGTTTAAAGGGCCTGCCAGGACAGGGGTGGGATTTAAATACCCTTCGCGCCAGTCAAAGAGTTAAGAACACTGCCTTCTAGGATGTGAGCACTGTGGTTTGGTAGAGGTTATTGGACCAGGCAAGCAGAGCCTTTTGCTTACTCTTCAGCTCTGAGGATGTAGGTGAGCTGCTCCCAGACTGCATGGTGTCACACCCCAGAAGGTAGTACTGTTCTTTGTCACTGCCATGAACAAGTTCATGGCCTAAACAAGGTACATTCTAGCATTTGGCCAGAGTGGCATAGTCAAACCAGGCACCTCCCAAATACAGAGCATTTCTGTTATACTGACCTCACTTTTATGGGTATGAAGCACTTGTGCAGCATGCAGTAGCTTGACTAATGGCCTGACGAAAGAGCTACCTCACCAGTTGAAAGCATGACGCACAAACACTGTAGGTGTTGCACGTTGGATAGGAGAAACAGGTTTCTGGTGCCCTCTTGCCTACTCTGTCAGTGCCAGGCTCTCAGACAAACACTTGTGTCAACATGTGCATCATCTTGCCGGTGAAACAGCTGTGGAAATCATTTTTGTCCCCTGTGTCAGTTGCATCTTGCTGTGGGTGTGATAGTTTTGAAGTTAATCCCACTAATCGCTGAACTATAGAGGCTTAGGAAAGTTTATGGCGCTAATGCAGGATTTTTATGCATCATAGTGATGGGACCTCGATGCAGCATGGTAATGGTTTCCTACTCTGCTGGATGATGGGGGCACGCGGTAGAGTAGCTGGTTGAGGGGATATGCTACAAGCTGGAAGGTCGCGGGTTCAAGTCCTGATGAGGTCATTGGATTTTTTCAGTTGACCTAATCCTTCCAGCTGCACTAGGCCCTGGAGTTTACTCAGCCTCTAACAGAAATGAGTACCAGGAATTAATTAAATAATTTTCCTGGGGAGTAAAGTACGGCCGGCGTGTAGGGCTGACAACCTTACCGCCATTTCTGAGCCGATCGTCTAGATAATGTGGGACACTCGACGTCTCACATCCCTATGGGCGTTCGTAGCCTGGTACAGGGATAGCTTTACTTTTTTACTCTGCTGGATGACAGTGTTACCCCTGCAAAATGTTTGCGAGACCACTATGTTATGTAATCAAATTCATTTTGTTTTAGGAACAGGCAGCATCAAGTTATTTGTTTTGGATGAAGCTGATGAAATGCTGTCACGGGGTTTCAAGGATCAGATACATGATGTCTTCAAAATGCTGAATTCCGAAGTTCAGGTAATGTGTTACATACAATATGAAGTTGACTCTAAGTAGGGAATTTGGTATAATCTGCTTTTATCCTAATGCTAGTGAGGCAAAGAATTTCATTATAACCAGTCTTACAGCTGCACTTCTAAAATACTTGTTAACTCTTCCACTGCTCTGGTACTAGTGGATTTTCATGACAGTTTATATTTGGGAGTCTTGTTTTGGTTAAAATTGGTCAGAAGTAATAGTCACTTTACATGAAGGCTCAGATGCATTTTTTGAGTGTTAGCTGCATCTAAGTGTTTTATTTTACCAACCAGAGTTCTTTTTATTTTGGTGGTGGTTTGTTATTCAATATTTCCCATTTTTTAGCGGTGTGATGGCCAGGTAGCCAAAAAGTCTTTAATCTCTTATAAGAAGACCAGTTTTGGATATTAGAAAGGGGCGTTCTTGTACAGACTTTTTCACCTTAGATCAGATTATTGAAGAAAGATGCATTGGTCTTGTCGGTATGGGAAGAACATATACTAGGCTCAATGGAGGCAATCTATAGGAAGATTTGGATAAAAAGGGCTGCCCTAATCATGTAATAAGCCTTTTGAGAGGGACTAAGACAAGAACAGAATTGCATGCTCAATTTTTCACAAGAAATTTTTATTAATCAGTGAGTGAGATGTGTGTAGTGAGCCACTGATGGTATTTAATATGTACTCCATCTGGAGGATGATTTAGGAGAAGCAAAATAAGTCTAGGTAATCAGTTAATAATGTTAAACGTGATGAAATGGTGATATTACAAGAAAATTGAAAGTATCTTGTAGAAAGACATGCATGAACTGCCAGGTTTAAATGATATCATTTTAAAATTTCTCCCATAAAAACAGAAGTCATAGTTTCATCAGGAAAATGGCCAGTTTGATCAGAAACAACTTTCAGATAATAATTCAGTTATATATGACACTTTTGACTTCATCTGTTTATGTTTTAATGTTACATAGAATTACGATGATCTTCATGGAAAGGTAAATAAATCTAAACGCATATGTAGGGTAATTTCAAGAACATTAACTGGAAAAATTTGGAAAGAGATTAATTTGAAAGTTTATATTGTTATGGTGCTGTCACTGCTTTTATATGGTAGAGACTGGAGTATAATTCGAATAGAAAGCATGTATAGGGAGTTAATCAGGTTATCTTTGAATGACTGTGGTAGAAAATGAGTAAATAAAGTCCTTAACAAAAGAAGTACTTTTGGTAAATATAGATAATATTAAGTATGTAGGGGCTGCAAAGGGTTGATCATGTGATCTGAGGAGTTTGAAAGGTTCAAAAGCTATGCTGTAGGATTGTCCACAGTGCCTGATGCAGTTTTTAAGTCTGCAGATGGCATGCCAAGGCAGAAGAGAGGTGCAAGTTGGAAGTTTGTGTTCATTATGGGTGGACGTGTGTGTGCGCGCATGTGTGGAGGACACACACACACACACACCTAACTTAGTTGTTTGATTCTCTATGCTACAATCTGGAAGGTCACCGGTTTGAGGCCTGATGAGTCCCCCCCAATCCTTCCAGTTGCACTATGGCCCTAATGTCGACTCAGCCTCTAACAGAAATTAGTGCCAGGAATCTCCTTGTGGGGTTTTGTTTGTAACAAACAAAATTAATGTCATATACAGATAATGCTGCCTTTATTTTAATGCTTATTTGCTTTAAAACATACACTAAAATGTATTTGTGGATTTTTGTGGGACTTGGGGAAATGAATTGGTGACTTACCTGTAAAGCAGTGGGAATATCATCTTTGATTTATGAAATTTTAACCTTACAAACAGTTCTCTTGATAGTGAATTATGCTTGAGAGCCGAGGGATACCTCTTTGTTCTGGAATGTGCATTTGTCTAGAAATACGTGTTGATTCCATATATTGAAATTTGAACATAAACAGTAATCTGCAATCAAGAGAGATTCAAGGAAAGTGCTTGTTCATTGTTTGTATTAAATCTTTAAAACGATTGATGGTTATATATACAGTAAACCCTTGCTAATCTGGATTAATAGGGTGGAGGTCATTTGGATTAAACGATTATCCAGATTAGTAATGCAGAAGGTAGCCCTAAAAGACAAAAGGGCTTAGAACACAAATAAATGGAAAATTTAATGATGTAAGTCATGCTGATGAAAATAATTAAATATCACTGTAGAGCCTTTATTTAACCCTTCAGTGCCGGGGGCGTTTAAATCGTTTTTCCACTCCAGTGCCGGCGGCTATTTAAATAATTAAATCGGAGAATGCAGCACTTAACTTAATGCCTAATAAATTGGGGAAAACTGGAGTTTTGTTTTTCAGATTTTCACACAACATCCAGAGAAGTATATAGAATTGGAGTATTGATCCACACTACTTTAAAATTATTTTTGGGCCAGTAAGCGTATAAAAATTATGAAAATAGTATTGCATTACCTTAAAAATTCAGTCGTGTGTGGTAGTCGCGGAAACACTCAATGCAGAGGCCCACGCCGCACGCATCACACCAGTACACTGTGTCCCTTCTCCTCCCATGCTTCTGACACACAACGCACTTTCTCTATGGTCTAGATTTCTTTGCCGTTGGAGGAATCTTGCTGATAAAATGTCGTTCTGTTAGACGGCGCACTGTGTTGTCTGATGGATGTGAACCCGGCACTTTATGTTCCACGCACTCGCATATTTCACGAACAGGCCCTCAATCAACTGAATTCTGAATGGTAATTGCTGAATTCGTGTGCCTGTGTTACTCCTGTACACTATCATTGAATTCAGAATTGAGGCATTTAGGAGCCTGCGAAACAGCTTCATGTACCACTTATTCGTGCGCTTCCTCTCGATCAAATAAGGGTGAAGCAGCTGGTCCTTCAAATCGACCCCTCCCATTGACTTATTGTAGTCCAATACTGAAACTGGTTTCGCCACCTCCTTGCCTCTAACTGTAACAGTCCTGGTGTCGTGACTGTGATAGGTGGAGATCATGGTGACTATTTTTTTGTCGAACCACTTTGTGACAGAAACGGGTCCAGAATGTTGTGCCACGATTTCGCCTTTTTTTAGTTTAGTGTTTTTTCACTTTTGGAGGCACATTCTTACGATTCAATTTCAGAGTGCCAACACAGTCGGTCTTGTGCGTTATCTTCAGTACCCTGGCCAGAGTTGGGGAATTGTAAAAATTATTTACCCACAGAGTCCGACCTTGATTCAGGAGAGGTTTACCAGTTTCAGGATAATGGCTCAAGTTTTGTTGGTGTCTGCTGTGATCAAGGGGGAGTCAAGCTCTGTATCCTTGCCTGTATATACGATGAATGACCATAAATACCCCGTGGTGGAGTCACACAACTTGTAAGTTTTAATTCCAAATTTGGCTACCTTCAGAGGGAGGTACTGTTTGAAAGACAGATGGCCTTTCCAAAGTGTCATAGATTCGTCAACTTATATGTCCTGGTTTGGGAGACAGAGTTCCTGAAATTTCTTATTGAGATGGAAAATTACTGAGTAAATTTTGAAAAGTCTTTTGGTCCTTCAAAAGTGCTGATGTTTTCATTGTTAGCGAAATGCAAATATTTACATATTAGCTCCAGTCTGTCTCGCGTTATAATGTCTCTAAATCCTGGCATTGAAATTGCTCTTTTTGTTGTAAAGTAAGACCGAAAAGTTGGTTTCTGTACAATGCCCATGAGCATGAACAAACCCAAGACAACATAAATCTCTCCCTCTGTCACAGGTTTCCATGCCTTAGAATGCGACCTTACTGATGGTTCACACCCCCGTAGAAACTGCTCCGCATATCTATTTGTTTCTGCGACTATGGTCTCAATAAGTTCCTTGTCGAAAAACAACTCGAAAACGTCCACAATTTCCGTTACATCTTTCGCAGGGCCTTGAGCTCCAACACTGCCCGTGAAATGTTCTCTGTGACCCCAATAGTTCTGCATATCCTCCCAAACGAATTCTTGATTTGCACTGTCATCTTCATCGCTGCCCTCATTTCCAACAGCATCAATCAAGGCACGATCATCTAACTCGTTTTCAGTGTTAAAATCTGAATCTGATAGACTTTGGTCCGAATCACTTTCAACCAAACACTGTATGTCCTCATCACTCAACACACACGAACATCTCTTGCTTGTTCCAGCCATGGCTGCTACATGCAAACTGCATTAGCTATGTGGAACAAAAGGGAACCTCAAGGAATGCAAACAAGGCATTTGTTCATCATTTCCAACTGCTGTCATATGAGAGGTCAGTGTCACGTATCTTTCTTGTTAGGTTTTCTACATGTGGTTTCTCATTCCGTTCAAGAGGCAGCACTCATCACTGGCTGAATGGAAATCGATTTTTTTTTTCGATCAACACGCAAGATCACAGACCATAAACCTAGCATATTTAGTTCCTAACTCTCCAACAGATGGAGATAGATTTGTACGGCAATACTGTACCCTAGACGGCGAGCTAGAAAACTTCTTCAGAGACTTCTAATGAAAAAAAAAAAATACCCCAGGAAGTTCAAAGTGGGATAACGAATATACGAAATGATAGAAATTTCCTCTTTCATTTCATAGCAAAAGTATTACTTTACATGAAAAGCAGCACGACGCACGATGTCGCCCAGCGAGATGTGGCATTCAAATGCCGACGTGCTATGTACGTCGCCCTGCACTGGAAGGCTAAAAACTATAGAAAGACAATAAATTTATTCATCAATACAAGGCTCAGAAGTTGTACTTGTTTCTGAACATAATATTGTGGGTTTGAAGAAACTGTCAAGTTTTGTCTAAACAGACAGGTGACTCATCGGCCTTATTTATTTTAGAGCACGTACTCAACTGTGAAGAGCATTTTTCATATTTTGATCTGGATTTATTGTAACCGTATTAGCAAAGGTTTGCTGTGTATATGGCGCCATAAAACTTGAAGCTGTGTAGTTAGAAATTGAGTGGAGGTATGTTTATGTAAGCTGTAGCACTGTATAATCTGGAAGAGAGAGAACAGTATTTCCATAGAACCACAGCTTGGTTGTCTACTTGCTTAGTGGAGACCCTTTCTGTTGGTAGCACATGGAAGTAATCTTGTGACAATTCTTTGTTTTCAGGTCATCTTGTTGTCAGCTACTATGCCCTCAGATGTACTGGAGGTTACTTCTTGCTTCATGAGGAATCCTATCCGTATTTTGGTCAAGAAGGAAGAGTTGACCCTGGAAGGTATATTGAATATTGTTTACATTGAGATTTCAAGTGGTACGAGTGTTGTATTCCTTTTGGAAATATTTTGGCCCTTTGTATTGGGAAAGGCCTTTCTCAAATATGTTGTCTCTGCAACAGGCATGTGGTAGCATAGTTGGTTGAGGCACTATGATACAAGCTGGAAAGTTGTGGGTTGATTCCTGATGAGGTCATTGGATTTTTCAGTTGACCTAATCTTTCCAGCTGCACTGGGCCTGTGGTTTGACTCAACCTCTAACAGAAATGAGTACCAGGAATCTTGTTATGCTAAAAGGGGGATGGCATGTAAGGCTGACAACACCACTGCCATCTGTAAGCCATTTGTCTAGAAAAATATTTTAGTATTCAGCTTTTGCTCAGTATTGAAGAGACAACATCGTGCCTTGAACGTGTTTGGTGGTGTGCCAGTTTCTTTCAGATCCATTTGTACCATTCTTTTGTTAACTCTTTTTGACTTCCAAGTCCCACCAAAGAAATACCTACTAGAAAGTGAGGGCTGGTCAGCAGTAAATGCAGTCGCAGGAAAAACTCAGAACGCTTTTTATAAATTAACTTTAAGTTACCATGGGTATAGACAGCATAAAGCCTGTTCCTCCGCCAAAACATTGACAGAAGTGCTGTGCTGAGTTATTAACCTGGATCCAATTAAATGAACCTCAGGATGGATGAAATTTGTATAAAAGTTTTCCAGAAATGTTCAAATTGAAATGATTGTAACTTTACACAGTTTCAACCATCTGAAGCCTCAGGTTTGTGTAAAGAATATTTAAAAATTCAGTTCTACCACACAAATCTCACAGTATTTCCATTACAGTAACAGATGTTTTAACTCTTGTTTAGAGAAGTAACTACATTATATTCTGAGAGGTGTATGAAACCTATTGCATGTGCAAAATGCAGAGGTTTTTAATTTTGAAGCAAGTGGTGCCTATAGTAATTATTCTTCTTCAGTCTGGAAGTATTTAAGCATTTTAAGCCCCCTGTCCGACGCGTTGTGTTCATTTTCGTAACAATGATTTTTTACGGTGAGGAGTTGTTAGCCCTACGCCCAACCCCCAAGCTGGAGGGCCACCCCTTGTCGGCTGTCTGCGACTGCTTATTCAGTATACTGCTTCCCTCCAAGACTGGAGGGCGTCTCCTCCATCCGCAACCTGAGGACGCGCCATACCGTGTTGTCAGGACCCACCTAATGTGGGGTAATGCTTGCTACCATTCAGTCTAGAACCTTTTGTCTTCTCGTCTGTTGTCCAAAAACATAAAAATTAGAATATACAAAACTACAATTTTACCTGTAGTTCTGTATGGGTGTGAAACTTGGTCTCTGACATTAAGGGAGGAACATAGACTGAGGGTGTTTGAGAACAGGGTGTTGAGGAGAACATTTGGACCGAAGAGAAATGAAGTGACAGGAGGTTGGAGAAAACTGCATAATGAGGAACTTCATAACTTGTACGCTTCTCCAAGTATAATCAGAATGATCAAGTTAAGGAGGATGAGGTGGGCAGGTCATGTAGCACGAATGGGTGGAAGAAGAATTAATATAGGATATTGGTGGGAAAGCCAGAAGGAAAGAGACCACTGTGAAGACCAAGGTGTAGGTGGGTGGACAATATTAAAATGGATCTTAGAGAGATAGGATCGGATTGATCTGGCTCAGGATAGGGACCAGTGGAGGGCTCTTTTGAACATGGTAATGAACCTTCGGGTTCCATAAAATGCTGGGAAATTCTTGAGTAGCTGCAGAATTGGTGGCTCCTCCAGAAGGGCTCAGCTCCATGCGTAAGTAAGCCCCCTGTGCCTGCGGGTCTTAAGTGGTATGGTAAGTCTGGTCAGGGAAGTGCTTCAGATGAGAGAGAGAGAGAAAGGGTTAATAACTCCAGATGTCACTGAACCACTGGTTGGATGATGTGATTGAGAAACTGCTACATGATAGCTGTATGATGTATGTTATGGTTTGGTCTTGGTCTTGCTTCGGAAATAGTGGATGATGGATAATTTTGAATATCAGCACATTAACCTTTAACATACGGACTTTTAAACTGCCAGCAGCCCCTCTACGGCTGGAATTTAAATGGCCCTAAGTCTTTAACATTGCAGACTTTCAGAAAAGACTGCATATTTTCCGTTCTATGCAACATAGAAATATGAACTAAAAAGAACCTGAAAGACAATAAAATTTTCTACATATACATAAAAGAGCAAGTTTTACAAATGAAAATTAACTGATTATTTTGTCATGAAATGCAAAATATAATCTTTATTATATATGTTATGAAATTCCAAAGGACTTACCTGTTGTTTTTTTCTTCAGCCTTGAATCATGGTGATATTGTAAATATAATCACACTGTATACAATAATATTTTGTTTAGGCTGTACACGAGTTTGAACAGCGTCACTTCACAGAGTACTATACCTCGCTCTGACACGTATGTGCCACTTCTCGCAGCAGTCCACAACACAGCCCAACATCACACTTTTTTACAATAGAAAATGGTGCTCCTGCTTTTATTATTTAGCGAACACACACGATGTCTTAGTTTCCTTTTGGTTGGCCAGTGTTGTGAATGTTTGAGCTCCAGTCGATTCAGTTGGGCCCCAGATGAACTTTGCCTCCTCCGAAAAACGCCACTGACCGTGATATTCGACTCGTGGGATTGAAGAATCATCTTGGCGGATGGGGGTTTCCAGCTGAATCGAATAAATTACTTTGATTGACAAAGGGACACACTCACCTGTTAGTAATACCCGCAAAATAGTGATTCAAAGTAATTGTAATACTAGTCGAAAAGAGTGTCAGTCCAACACTGATACTGAAAGTCACAGTGGCGAAGATGCCTTTTACTGACAAAGTAATACTGGCTCAGTGGGTTTATACCTTTTCCAAGACACAAAATAAAAATGATATATAAAGAAATATATGACAATCCAACACTGACTTCATGACTGATAATTCGCTACTGAAAACCAGTCCTTGAATACGTCACACTTCCTTGAAAGCTCTTGAAGCACTAACAGAGAACAGATGAATATTTAGTCCTCAGTTCTCAAAACAAAGCTGGGCTCTATTTGGCTAACCAGGTCATAAACAGTCATAGTAAATAGTATCGAAACCAGTACGTGATATACGATTTCATTCTGACATGAACTTGGGTGGGTTTATTTTGGTTTCAGACCCAAGATTAAACTGTCAGCTCTCCCAAAGGGAGCACGTGTCCTGCCTCATATAAATATAACATTCAGCCAACACGGGGTGGTACTTGCTATAAATATATATAACATTTGTCCGTTAAAGTTTAAAATATGCTAGAATCATGTATAAAGTGCAATTGAAATTTATTGACAATTCTGTTTATAGGTATCAAGCAGTTCTTTGTATTTGTTGAGCGGGAGGATTGGAAGCTGGAAACCTTGTGTGATTTGTATGATACGTTGAGTATCACTCAGGCCGTGATCTTCTGCAACACTCGCCGTAAAGTGGATTGGCTGACTGAGCAAATGCACAGACGCGACTTCACTGTGTCTGCCATGGTAACTTAATGTGTTACATTTATGTCTAATACATTTGCAACCATGCCCCCATACAGGAATGTCGTATGCGGTTGCCAGTTATTCTTCCATGAAGACTGGATTTTGAACTTTATGTTTTAAATGGAAGGAGTTGGGAAAGCATACTCAGTATAGTGACTGGCTGCAGGCTGGACAACAAAGGAGTTCGAGTCCCTGTGGGGTCAAGAATTTTGTCTTCTCCACAATGTTGAGACCGGCTCTGGGGTCCACTCAACCTCCTATCCACTGGGTTCTGGAGGCGCTTTCCCATGGGGGTAAATTGGTAGTGGCTTGAAGCTGACCACTCACCTCCAGTTAGTGCTGAGTTTAAGAAATTGTGGATCTATAAATCTTCTTCCCCATACACACTCATGGTGTAGTGCTTAATTAGCTAAGCGCAGAGACAACTTTACATTTTTATGTTTGAAATGGAAGAGAACAATATTATATTTAAGCATCCTGTTGCACTCCATACGATACATGATACAAACTCCGTCTTCAGTGCAAACCATATATTATAGGTCTTTTCGTTTTACTCTCATTTACACACTACATGTTTCGGCCACAAACAGCCATCATCAGGTGTATTACTCACGTATCTGTCACACTACACTTAATTTAACATTTAAAATTTAAAAACAGGTCTTCCTGATTGTTTGTTTCGTATCATGTATCGGAAGAGAACAACTTGACAAGCAACTCAGCATGTGTCTGTATTCAAATGACATCTTCAGGAGAAAACAGCACTTATGTACACACTGGCAGTAACTTGTCACGTGACAGGATTGGCAGAGACATACACATTTGGTGATGGGGTTGGTGGTTAATGTATCTAGTAAAATAATTGTTAGGCCCTGAAGGAGAGGGAAGGTGGAGTAATGTAATGTACCAAGGAACACAAATCAGCACTTGATACACACACAGTGGGGCACAGGAGGAACAGACATGTAGCGCACATTCATGGGAAGGGTGTAATAACAAAATATGATCAGAGTCAACCCATCTATCTGCCACAGAGTGTTGTAACATATATCTATCTGCACCCAGCATATTTTAGTGAATTAAATGTGGATTAGAGTCATCCACGAGTAAATCTATATTGATTTTGTTGCATTCTACAGTGTAGATGATCTAAGTGGCACCAAAGAAACATGCAGAACGTGTTGCATCAAATTGTGAACCATGGACATTTCTGCTGTATTGCTCTTTGTGTTGATTTCTTTCCTTGATGTAAGAAAACCATTAGTTTTTCATTTTATTTTCGACTTACAGCACAATTTGTTATTTCTTCTGCTTTTTGAATTATTTTTAGTTTTTTCTAACTGTGGAAGGTTGTAGAATGTAAATGCTTACCTTCAGTTTATACATAGCAGAGCACTTACCCAGTACTTCACACATAAACAGTCACTTGTGCGCTGCATCCTTGCGTCGGTGTGCAGAAGGAAGAGGAAGCTGTGAAAGTTATGGTGGCCCCTAGCCATGGAAAGCTACATACCCAAATTTGTGGTGTTGTTCAAGAAAATCTTAGTTGTAAATGAGATTTTCAGTAGAATGAAAATACATAGTTTCTGCAGTGTCTAAGACGAGAATGAGTGTTCATCAAGAAATCCTGGGTAAATGACTTTTTAGGCATGTTGAAATCAAGCCTGGGTTGTGCGTAGGGGAAGGTGATCCTGGTATTGCAGAGACTAGCCTAAAGTGGGTTCACATTTTTAGTCTGATATGGTCTTTATAGCTAAGTCAGTTTAGTGACAGGCTATGGGCTGGGTGTGCGGGGTTCAATTCCCAGCAGTGCAGATTTTTCTCCACAGCTTCCAGATCTGGGGCCCACCCAGTCTCCTATCCAGTGGTTACCGGGGAGTTTCCCCAGGCGTAAAACAGTAGGGTATGAAGCTGACCACTCACCTCCATCTAGTACCAAGGTTAAGAAAGGTGGAGCTAACTCCACTCCCCAATACATCTTCGTGGTTTAGTGCTTAACTAATTAAGCACAGGGATGACTTTTAACTGTATATACTGTCTATTAAAGTTTTATTCCACCAATTAATCTCGTAATAGGATTAATGAAAGTGAACCTGGTGTTGAGAAGCAGTAAGTTTAGTGCATTGGAATTTGATGTACATATGAATTGCACTGGATTTCTGCTATACTAAAGAGCCCAATGAAGAGATCTGCCCTCTGGGATGTAATACCTAGTAGTCTGTTGATTGTCCAGTGATGGTTGAAGAACAGGCAACAATCCAACATGAAGAAGCAAGCAAGCAGTCTGCTTAGGTCTGCAGATAAGGCTCCATCAGTTGACCCCCATAGACTAATTTTTTTTACCTGAAGAGGAAGGTACGGTACAGTCTCCAAAATGTTGTTTTAAATAAAAATTGGCCAATAGATTACATCCAGAAAGTCAGTAATTGTCCTTGCCATTCTTCCCAGTTCATTATTGATGAGTCCTATCTTTCGATGCTGTGTGACCTGGGCTGCTCTTTTTGTCATTGAATCATAATGTGACTCATTTACATAAGTAATTGTAACATGCCTGCTTGCTGTTTGTGTGACAGAAAACTGCAGATCATTTGAGGAATGGCAGACACCCATTGTGTTCACATTTAATTTAAACTCAACTCTTCATGTTCTACTTCAGGGCATAAGAAAATGCTACATTTTCAGACACTGCTTTTCTCCATCCTACCAGTTAGTGTTATGTATTACGAATGTCATGCTGTTCTGGCGAATATTAACCTCTCTGTCATCTTTTGAGGTCTGGCGGATTTTCATTGGTGTTCCCAAGGAAGGTAATGTAACCCTCACTGGCAGCAGCTCTGTTGTTAACCTGCTAGCCCAAGCCATTTTTTGCGGTACCATGTTAGTATACAATATTTCACTCTAAAGAAATAAGTAACAAGTAATCTTCAGATTTCAAAGAATTGTGTGCGATGTCTAGTGACGGAAGAAATAATTTCAAGCTCAGAGTGTGTTCTGAAAGAGGAATATGTTTTATCACAGTGTGTTGCTATCTGAACTTCATGTGGTGTGGCAGTCTGGACAGAGCATTGGTGAATGACAAACCGCAGACAGGGAAGTTAGTTAAGGTTGCAAGAATTAGAATTCTACAACAGAAGATGAAGGCAGCAGGTGCCTCCAAATTGTTTGTGAGCATCTGTCCTCATGATGTTAATTCCCAGAAGAACCGTTTTTAAATGCTCATATACAGGGAGTTTGGAAAGTCGCGCACATCAAACTAAAAGTTATTATAAATTGTATTGCAGTTAATATAATTATATCTCCTACCGCTAGATGGTACTGTAGGAGTACTAACAACGAGTAGAAACACTGTCGCATATCGGTCATACAACATCTCCAGTATAGCTTTGTTTATTGCGTGACAGACATGTCGTTTTCCCAGGAATGAGTTCTCATGGAATTTAAGAGTTTGATTGGGTTTTCTTCACTGATGAAGCGTGGTTTGACCTCAGTCGCTAAGTGAACAATCAAAACAATAGGATTTGGTCATCTGAATATCCATGTGTTACTTGCAAATTGTTAGAAAATTGGAGTGTGGTGTGCTGTATCACATTGAATAGTGGACCCAGTTTTCTTTGAAACAACAGTGAGGCTGTCCACTGTACCAAGTCATTACATAGTTTATTGTGCTTTTTCCAAGTTGATGAATATGAGTGTTGGTTGCAGCAAGACAGTGCCACATGTCACACATCTAATGAAACCATGCTGTTCTTGCACGGGTTTTTGGTGACCATCTCATTTTGAAAGGATTGCGGCCCCCACGTTCATCCAGTTTGTCACCCGCAGATTTCTTCCTTTTGTGGTACCTCAAAGGAATTGTCTATAAAAACAATCCGCATACTCTGGATAGCCTCAAGAGGAACACTACAATGGCGATTAACAGCATCAGTTTACAGGTGCTCCACAAAGTGGCCTCAAACATGGTAAAAAGAGCTTTCACGTGCATTGCTGAACAGGGAAGCCATTTTGAGCATATGTTGTAAAGACATGATTTCATTTTGCATTTCTAAGATGTAAGGTTATAAACATTAATAGAAAGTGCTGTATGTCTTGTAGTTTGTGCTTTAAACCAGCAAAATATAATTGCTTAGTGTGATGTGCACGACTTTTCGATATTTCTGTATATCTTGAAGAGCCTAGAATTATTGCTATCTCATTTCAGTATGGGTTATCATCAGAATGCCCACATAAAAGATATCAGTTTCTAAAGTGGTCGGGGTTGTGCATTGAGAAAGCCTATAATTTTTTTAACTCTTTTTTTTTTTTATTTATTTATAAGTTGGTCATTGTACTGACAGGAATATTCAAACTTGGCAGGGTTTAAACTGAGCAATTTTAACCTGACACAGTCTGAGGAACTGATATTAAATGAACAGTAAGTAAATTAGATGCGTGTCTAGTTAGTATTGAAGATTAACAGTGGCATTCCTTTACTGGTTAAAAAATTTTATGTCTATGGGAAAGTTGGTCATCAATAAAAATGAATTACAGAGGTGTACTGCTTTGATAACTTGTGTCTGTTAAGGCTCAGATTGTGGCACTGTCGAAGGGAATGTTATTTTTTAGTGAAAACCCTTGGTGTCTGTTTTTAAAGGAACATTTTCCATTGATAAGGTCAATGTGCTATTGATAGGATCAATTTTCTCTTGCACATGTTTTGTTTTTATGTATTTCATTCATGGATTTACTCTATTAAGGGTTGCATACCTTCTGTAGCCATTTTATTTAAAATTTTCTTCTCAGCTTTGAAGCCGGCATTACTAACAATAAGGATATCACAGATCTTAAGTGCTTGAATTTGTGATATCAAAATGAGTGTGTGGTATCTTCTTGGAGGTAAAGGGTGACCGGTATGTGAGGTATATTCCTGGAGGTAATGGGTGACTGATATGTGAGGCTGTCCTCACCACCACATGTGAGCATATGAAAACTTGTGTCATCTATGCTGAGTGCTCCACATAGTATAAACTTCCTTGGTTTCAGCATGGAGATATGGAACAACGCGAGAGAGATCTAATCATGCGACAATTTCGAACAGGATCTAGCCGAGTATTGATCACCACTGACCTTCTGGCCCGTGGTATTGATGTACAACAGGTGTCCTTAGTTATCAACTACGATTTACCATCAAACCGTGAAAATTATATTCATAGGTATGTAAATCACTTGCTGATTTAAATCTTTGGTGTCCCTTACTTTGCAAGAGACTAACAGTTTTTTCTGCATGGTGATGTAAAATATTCTTTCAAGGAAATTGTCAGTGTGGCAAGATAAGTAATTGTTATATTACTTAGTGCATTTTAATTTATTTTCAGAATTGGCCGTGGTGGACGTTTTGGCAGGAAAGGTGTTGCTATAAATTTTATCACTGAAGATGATAAGCGTACTCTGAAGGACATTGAACAATTCTACAATACCCACATTGATGAGATGCCGATGAATGTAGCAGACTTAATCTAAGTCTAGTGCTGTTCTGTGTTGTCTTGCGTTCTCATGGTGTGAGTATCGAGATTCTGGTCACACCCTAAGGTTTTCTGGACTGCCACGATTTGTGACTTGCGATTTCTCATTTCATACCGAGCTGGCATGCAATGAGTTCTTATTTTTGAAGTATCCAGAGACTGTGCTGCTCTGGATTCCTCTCTACAAGACTCCAAATTACGGTGAAGTGGACGGAGTCTAACCTCTTGTTTACGACAGTAATCTGTTTCAACAGGTTCCTGTCTCGACTTGTGCTTGGTCCGTGAAAGGACCAGTCTCTTGGTATTGGCCGTGTCGTGTTTTTAAAACTAAACAGGTGTCATTAATTTGTAGGTCGAATGGTTGAATTTTCATTTTGATTCCATTGTGTTATACTTGAATTTCTGTAAGTGAAGGGTTAATTTAATTATTAAAATATTTGTTGTGGATTGTATCTCTCAGAGCTGGAGGAAAGTTCAAGTTTCAAAATGTTAGTTATATCTCTTCCCAAGCAGCCTACATGGATGCAGTTGCACTTGGACATAACAAAGCTTCTACAGTTTCTCCATTCTTATCTTGCACATCTTGTGCTTTTCTGGGTAGATAGTAGAATGTGCTCTCTTCCAAAATATGTTGTGCATTGTGTTGCATTAAGTTTTGCCTTGATGGACTTGCATGATCAAAAGACAACAGAATGGTTCGCAGTTCAGGTGGTGGCTAAAGTGAAAAGAGAATGTATCTTTAGATGTGCAAGCAATAACTCCATGTTATGTTTGCATATTCAGGTGTTTTGTTGTCTAGGCAAATGTTTAGTTGGGTTTTGGAAAGGGTATTTTAACCAGAAAAGGTGCAGGAGACGAGATATGATTAAAATTAGATTGGGAGAGTACCGATTTTGTACGACCTTATTTAGCATATTAATAAAATCTCAGAAAGCTTAGTTATCTTTTGTTTTTAAATGTTGAAACCCTGTTTGATCTTGGATTACTTTTAGTGAACTGATATCTTGTCACAGGGTCTGTTTTGTATGATTTTGGATGGTTATGCTAAAAATGCTTTTCTGTATTTACAGGCATATTTTGGCCAGACTACCAGTGGGAAGAAATTTTTGGAAATAAAGATCAAAATTTCCTAATCGAAGTCCAGCAAACAGTGGTTTTTCTTGTTATGATATATGTGTTATAACCCAGACAAATCCTTGTCCTTTGTGTTGATACTATGAAATTCAGTCTCATGAACAAATGAGTAAAATTAGATAAGTGTGGATCAGTTTGTCTCTTTGAGATTTAGATCTAGTTTTTATAATGTGTTTTATAACTATACGTTTATTTTCGATAAGTGATGTTCAGCAGTTTTAGATGCATGTTTGCTGCAACAAGATGAAATTGTCATACTGAAAGATGTATATTAAATATTTTACAATTTAACTCAGCCTTGTATTAAATACTTTATGAATTCACATATCAGTGAAAGTGATGATGATAAAGGAATAAGCCCATAGGATTTAAAAACTTGTAGGCTACAAACAATGGAAAGCCCGGTTTGGCGAACAGGTTAGTAAAGTACGTAATCCAGTTAAAGCGATGTGATTGGTTGTGGCGTTCCGTATTGAGATGCCATCTGGTGTTAAAATGTGCTGAAGAATCGTATCGCAACCGGAACAAGTTTCCGAAGTAAAGTAGTCCTATAGGTTAATTCACAGAATGTATTTTGATCGTAGTGATGGAAATAGAGTTACAAAGAAAATTGTGGAAGAGAATACACAATTAATTTTTTTATAACTCGAAAGTTATAAATACACATGACTCAAGTTGCGGAGTAATACAAGAAACTGAATGTGAAGTGTGCGCACTAGTTCTTTCAGCAACGGTAGTGATCGGGCGAAGTTTGTGTGTGTGGAACTTTGTCTCTTGACGGTTTCATTATTTTTGTGTGCATCATGAGCTGGCAGGATTACGTTGATAAGCAATTGCTAGCTTCTCGTTGTGTGACAAAAGCAGCAATCGCAGGACACGATGGAAATGTGTGGGCCAAATCCGATGGATTTGAAGTAAGTATTTCTTACAGTAGCGTAACCAACATGTTTGAAATATTCAGGCAGAGGTTGGAGTGACAAGATACCGGTTATAATGAATATATTGAACATTGTGTAGTTCAGGGAGCGGTTTTGTATTTCATACGGCATTGGTATGTGTTCATAGGTTTCGAATCAAATTAGTGAAGTATAGTCCTGTTACTAATTACTACAGTATATAAGGGTGTGGGCGAGATTGTGATATGGGACACGAGGCAGCAGTTGTATTAGTGCTCCACACCAAATTAGGTTACAGATTGTTGCAGTCTTAGTGCAATATACATTCAGGCACAATGTTTATATGCAGAAGTTATGTAATGACTGAAGTGTATAATCTTGTCGGCTGCAGACCATAAACAGCAAATTACTTTTCCGGTACGATGTCAAAATGGCGGCACTGAACCCACAGACGTGGTACAGTCAGAAACGAAGACTGGCGAACTCATTACGTATCGTGTGGGCGGCCACCTTCTTTTATTAATTTTTATTTGTGTAGGAAATGCTTATTTTTGTGCTTTGGCAAAATACATTGTAGATGTGTATCTGAAAGAAAGTTTTTTTTTTCTTATGATAAATGCCATTCCACAAGCAGTATAAAGAAATAGCATTGATAATCCAAACCGCCCTACGTATGGCATGCGTTCACTGTTGGATTAAAATCTGGGACGGCTGAACTGAAGGGCAGTGGGGAACGTGGCGCCACCTCTCCAATGGTATCGTCTCAAGCCAACCTAGTAAATTGTGCACAAAAGTAAAATGCTTTATGCCGACAAGAAGTGCAGTTTCCTTTTTCTTTCAGCATTATAATTCCCAGTCATTTATCAGGAATTAACAAAAATTCTGTAGAGCAGGAGTACAAAATAAGCGTGTAGCTATTAGGGTGGCTATGCCCTTCCCCCAAATGGCAAATCAGACAATGGTGTATTCGTTTTTATTCTCTGAGAAGAGTGGCGGTTTTTGCTCTCCCTTTAGGCATATACCCTTTCAACGTTTAGCATGAACCATGCCAAGAGGGTGCTAGAAGCGGTAACAAGAAAAGAGTTGGCTAAAAATTCTAGGTACTAGCTGACCACAAAATATTTTCCATGTACTTATTTTTATTTGAAAACTTTCACACTGCATTGAGATGAGAATGGTGATAATCTGCATGATTTGAACTAAAACTGACTTGAATTAACATATACTAGGCTTGTTCTTCACTTATGATAAGCATAGGATTTTAGACATGATTTAAATATTAGTGGAGTATATTGAAAAGAACAAAGAACAGTCTGGTCCCCTCAGCACAGGTGTAAGGAGACCTGAGACTGGTTATATGTGAGAAGCATGCATCCATCCATCCTGTTGGGGCACATTATTGGCCATCCTTACATCGCATATAATTCTTTTGATACTCACAAGTAAGGTAACTTTGGTTTGAGATCACTGCATTTGTATCAGCACTATTCACCTCTCCATGTATTTATTTGACATGAAGCCTGCCTTTCTTACATTTTGTATGGACCACTCATATATCACCAGAAGTTTAGTTTATATTTCAGAACCGGATTTATTGCTTTTAGTGTTGTACATTAATCTTCAGTGACATGAAATCTGATTATCCTGTGACTTACACGTTTACCACATATGGTGTACTGAACAATTCACCTGCCACAGCATTCCATTCCCCCCACTTTCAGAATCCTCCACATGCTGCTGCAACAAGACATACCCATTACTTCAGCTTAATGTAGAAGAGGTCCCCATTCTGCCTTCTGTTCCATGAACTTGTACACATTGCAAATTACTTTTCTGCTCTAGGTGTTTATTATTTTGTTCCATGCAGTGAGTTTTATCACAAGCGTCTGGGTCCATGATGTGAATGTTTGCAGAAGATGTTAAAGCTAAGCACAGCCAGAATGACTGGAAATGTCACTGTCCTGCATTTGTAGACAGTACACCCCACCTGTTATTCCCTGCTAGAAGAAAAGAGAAAGTTTCAAGGGGCTGGGTTCTTTCCTCTTCATAATGGACCTACACACAACATGTGAAGAATTGCTGTACTTTTCAGACCACCTACTCTTCCAGGTGTTATTTCTCACATTCCAGGAATCGCTGTGAACTTGACAAATCTAGTCTTTCTAGAATGTTCCAAAATTCTGTATAACAGTACAGTGGAACCTCACTTAACGAGCACCTCTCATAATGAGTAATTCACATTACAAGCAAAACAAATTGTAAAAAAATGACTCGCTTAACAAGTGACGTTTCACATAACGAGTGACGAGAGATTGTGTGCTTGCTATATCAGTCTGTGTTTAGCACTTCTTCTACTAGCATCTTAGTGTCACTTGTGATCACACATTTTTCCAAACTTGTGTTCAGACATATTATTTGTGAATTTTTTTGTGCAAAGTTTAATAATCCTTGCAAAATTGTCCCCGTAGAAATGAAACGTAAAATCATTGAAAAGCGAGAACGAGGTGTGAGCGTGGCTGATCTAGCACGCACATACAGTTGGTCTACATCAACAATTTGCACGATTTGGAGTTGCATTGTGTTTCACAGCAAGAAGTTGTGGAGGAGAGTTTGTCAGAGGAGGAGGTAACAGCAAAGCATCAATCTGGCGCAATAAGAGAAATGCTGAAAGCATGGGAAACTGTTGCATCATACATTGAGAAGCATCACCCTAATAAGGCAGTGGCTATGCGCGCTACAAATTTATTTAATGATAAGCTGTGTTGCATTTTCACCAAATTTTGAAGCATTGGCAAAAACAAATGGCTAGACAGCTTTCTAGTAAAAAGAATTAGATATGTATCATAAATAATAAACTACTTATTTCGATTTTTTTTCTGCAAATCGAATTCGCATTCCAGGTTGGTTCATTCCGCACAGAAGGAAATATGAAGATGATTCATGCTTCTTAACAATGTATATATAATTTTCTTTGAATAAACGTTATACATAAAATTTTTTTAGTATTCTTTTCGGCATGGAACGAATTATCGTATTTTACGTTAATTTATGTGGGAAAAATTGTTTCCCTTAACGAGTGTTTCACATTACGAGTAAGATTCTGGAACAAATTATACATGTTAAGTGAGGTTCCACTGTATTTGAAGAATTCTGCTGCTTGTGATTCTTGTATTATGTTCGCTGTGTTGAGTGAATTTTCCTGCCCTGTACACTGTACTTTATTGGGAAGAGTGTAAAGAAATTCAGGTGAATGATATCTATATTGTGGTTTCTCAAACTGTGGGTCCTGACCTCCAAGGTGGTCATGACCATATGTCAAGTGGGTTTGGCAAGTCGGTATGATTTAATATAATTGCTTTCAGAAAATGTAGCTGTTACTGTCAGAACATGTCTTTTTTTGGAGTGGGGATGCAGAGAAACATTTTATGGCTTACTGTAGGTGTAGAGAGGTTGTAAAGCTATTTAGATTCCTGCTGTCACCATACAGGCTGGTGTGTAGAACTGCACTTTTCGTGACTGTACAGGAATATTTTAAAGCTTGCTGTAGGTGTAGAGAGGCTGTGAAACTATTTAGGTTCCTGCTGTCACCGTACAGCCTGGTAGGGACCTGCAACAGTGTGCAGAACTGCACTTTTTGTTACTGTACAGGAACATCCTTTAGCTTACTGTAGGTGTAGAGAGACTGTATAGCTATTTAGGTTCCTACTGTCACCGTACAGCCTGGTAGGGACCTGCAACAGTGTGCAGAACTGCACTTTTTGTTACTATACAGGAACATCCTTTAGCTTACTATAGGTGTAGAGAGACTGTATAGCTATTTAGGTTCCTGCTGCCACTGTACAGCCTGATAGGGTCCTCGACAGTGTGCAGAACTGCACTTTTTGTGACTGTACAGGAATATTTTATAGCTTGCTGCAGGTGTAAAGAACCTGTTAAGCTATATAGGGTCCTGCAACAATGTGCAGAATCTCATGTTTTGTTTAATTTACCAGCAGAGGTGCTGTTGGAAGGTGTAAGTGTATGTGTTACTGTAGGGAGTTGCAGCATGAAGTTTGAGAACCCCAGGTTATGTATTTCTACAGGCCACTTAATTCAGTGTTGTGCCATGTAGGTATGTATTTATTTCGTCTCTATAGAGCATTGTTACATTATATAGGACAAGTCAGTTACTGTACATTGGCTGATTACAATAAGAGAATAAAGTTACAATACTTAAAATTGTTTACAATAGATTACAGTAGATTACAATAGTTAAGATTTCACATAGTCTGAGGTGGAATCCATATTAGGTCCCCTCAGCATGTCGGCTTCCATATGTCCTATTGTGCCTGTACTGGTGATAATGTTTATGGAGAATTTGATGGAATGAGGATTGGCAGGAGAAACCGAAGTACTCGGGGAAAACCTGCCCCAGCACCATTTTGTCCATCACAAATCCCACTTGACTAGACTGCAGCGGTGGGAAGCCAGCGACTAACCGCTTAAGCTATGGTGCGGCCTTCGAGATAATATTGGTGAATTTGGTGATACCACTGGTATAACGTTTCACTGTAGACTCTACACTGCAACATCTCACTACATCCGTTCTTCCTTCCTGGTGCAGCTTCTTGGCATCTGCAATCTCTTCAGAATAGCCCATTCAGGTATATCTCGGACTGTGTTATCTTGGTTGCTGGGAGAAAGAAAGGAAAACTGCGCAGTAGGGATTCCCAAAACCGATTATTCATGAATTATGTGATTATAATTGATTAGTGTTTGTCTCACACGAGAGAAACTCATTCACTTTATAAATACAACGATTGAGTACGTAAGTTTTCAAAGCGTTTTTGAACTTATATAGTACCAGTATTTCTTTAATATATCGTGGCAGATGATTTAGCAGTCGAAGTCCTATATTGTTAAAGTTGTTCTTGCATAGACTTGTATTACATGGGACGATGTGCAAGTCATCTTTTTTCCTTGTATTGTATGAGTGTAATCCTGAGTTGGTTATGAAATCATTCAAATTGGATTTTATG